AATCTAGTTCTTAGTTCTCTAAATCTAATACTCAAAAATCAATTTAATTAGAATAATAATCGACGGTTGTGATTCGTCCAAATAAAGGCCAAAAACGAATGCACCATCTTAGGGTTCATAGTTTATAATTGAGATGATTAGGAACTAGGGTTCACTCATTAACGGTTATGGTATAGTATCAGGTTCAAAAATCCTGCTAATTCGAGGTCTAGATAGCATTTTCATACTCAAGGTATGCGGTACCTAGATTTCACCCGGGGTACCGTAGAAGGCACCATATATATATATATATATATATATATATATATATATATATATATATATATATATATATATATATGGGGAGTTCTACGGTACCCAGGGTGAAATCAAGGGTACCGCATACCCTGAGTATGAAAACGCTATTCAGACCATGAATTGACTGATCTTTCGGACATGATACTATACTCTAACCCTTAAAGATCAAAATATAGGTCTTAGTTCTCTAAATCTTGTACTCCAAGATCAATTTAATTAGAATAATAATCGACGGTTATGATTCGTCCAAATAAAGGCCAAAAATGAATGCACCATCTTAGGGGTTTATAGTTTATAATTTAGATAATTAGGAACTAGGGTTCATTCATTAAGGGTTAGGGTATAGTATCAGGTCCAAAAATCCTGCTAATTCGAGATCAAGATAGCATTTTCAAACTCAAGGTATGCGATACCCTGGATTTCGCCTGGGGTACCGTAGAAGGCACCATATATATATATATATATATATATATATATATCACCCATATAACAAAAAAGGGTTATAGGTATAATATGCCCCTCTACTATGACGTTTTATCAAACATGCCCCTCTGCTATTTTTTACATCAAACATGCCCCTGTACTTTGGAAAAACTATCAAACATGCCCTTCAGTTGAAATTTCCATCGAAAAAATCGTCAATCATGGTTGAACCGAGATTTAGACGACCTGACATCGATAAATGGGAGTGGAAATATCAGTTTTGACCCTTGTTTTATTTCTCTAGGTCTTGTCAAAGTGAAATTATTAGAATTATTTGGCTATACAAAAGAAGAAAAAAAAACTCTAAACTGAAATTATTAGGGATATTTTAGATATTTGGGTCGCCCAAACTAAAGTTCGGTCTTGGTTAACGGTTTTTGGATGTAAATTTTAACAAAAGGGCATGTTTGATAAGTTTTCCAAAACACAGGGGCATGTTTGATGTAAAAAATAGTAGAAGGTCATGTTTGATAAAACATCATAGTAGAGGGGCATATTATACCTATAACCCAACAAAAATTGAAAAGTGTTTCTATAACATAAAGTATAATGAAAAGTTGTTTTGCAAAAAGAATATATTGTTATTACTTTTAAAAAATTTCGCAAAAATTTTATTTTAATTTATTTATATCATTTAAAAAACAATTAAAAATTATTAACTAATATAAAATAAATCGATTTTGATGTGTTTTTACAATTTTAATTTTAGTTATATTTTAAAACACATATATTTTTAGTCATTTAACATTATCTATGATATTAACACACTACTAATACTTCATCAACAAAAATAACTATTTTTTTAAAGTTACAGCACGACCAAACTAGTTCATCACTTTGATAGCCATATTATGATAACATCAATCTCGATGTTCGAGTTAGAGAAAATATGTAAGAAAAATAAGATAACATTTATTTTAAATGTCTCTCAACTACTCGACTTGTTGGTACACATGGAAGATTTGCTAACCATTAGGCTGAGTCCAACGACATATTTGGGGAAGCGACAAATTTGGGGATGGTGCAGCTCCAATGGATCCCCTATTTATGTCGTTGTCCCTATAAATGGTGATAATCACCATCTGTTCCGCCATTTTTAGCAAAGGGAATGACGATTCCCTCTATTTTGGCGATTGGGCAAGGTGGTGCAGGCACAACCGCCAGCTCGGGCGTTGCTCCGCACGATAGCAGGGGAGGGGCTCTCCCGCTCGCATGCAACGCACTGCCCGGGTTGGTGTTTGTGCCGGCCACCACATTTTTTTATAGTTTAATTAAGGGTTTAGGGATTTAATTAGCGCTTTAATGATTTGAAAAATTAGATAATCGCCTTCATATTTATCGTTTTCAAGTGTTGTTAAACCAAAATTAGGTGAATTATTTTTTGCCAAAAAAATTGGCCTTGAAATTTTAAAAAATTCTATCGAAAAAAATTGTATTTAAAAATGATACGATCTATAAAAAAATTAATATGAACAAATTATATTAAAACTTTCATAAGCACATTTATAAGTAAATGAATAACTGAAAAAAGGTGCATTCTCTAAATTTGGAGAATATAGCATTGGAGCAAAATAAGAGAAAATGGAGATGATCTCCAAATTTGGGGATTTAAGGTCCCCAAATTTGGAGACTAGCATTGGAATTGGCCTTAGCAATATTCGATCATTCATTTTTCTCGAGCTTAACCCAATAAGTGTTTGATTTGATGAGGTAGCAATCTGGTTGACTTGCAACTCACGAAATCGTCCAAACACCATATCGTGTAATTACTAAGCAATCGATTAATTAGTGCTAGACACTGACTGTATGTGATCTGTGCTTGGTATGGGATGGTGGGCGTGTTGATTGGAAAATGTGGGGGTTTAAGTCGTTTCAATGGATCAGTTCTGCATGTGATTGATTTATTTTGTCTAAATTAGTTTAATGAAAATACGTAGAGTAATTGTAGCTTTGAACATTCAAATCATGGATTATGAGATAAGATATCTTATCAGTGGTAAGATTACACAAATCGACAATCATTGTCAATTAAATCGATATGACATATAAATATATAGGAAAAGTATATACCAGGTGGTACAAGATGAGGTTAAATTATCTATCTACGATATCATCAATCAATTTTTGTCGGTATTAAAAGTCGTTTTTAGTCTGTTTTATATCCATGTATTTTCAGTTCAATATTTTATCTTACTAGCTTTTGACCCGGTGATTTGGCCGGAATTTTTAATTTTAGAGGGTATAACGTAACCAAAATATGTGAGATGCAACTATTAAAATATTCCTTAGATTCAACTTGGTAAAAGAAATATACTCTTGGCAATTCCCAAGATAAAAAGTGGTAAAATATTTTAACAATATTTATCCTTCCAGATAATTAATAAAGATAAACTTTTTAACCATAAATTTAGTCTTAAACAATAATTTAAACCAAAAGAATTTTCTTTGCATAAAATAAAGGCAAAATACACCTATATATCCACAAATATCAGGTTTGTGACAAATATATCCACAATTATCGAAATACACGAAATATCCAAAAATCGGAAGGTTGTGTGACAAATCTATCCATTTTCGTCTAAAACTATAACGACGTGTCAGACGGCGTTAAATTGACTAACGGAATGCTGAATCGATGCCATCTCACCTGCCACATAAGCCAAAAAGCAACCAATTAAACATGGAGAGGGCAGGAAATTCAAAATGAAGAAAAATACACAAAAGTGTACTATATATTATTGGGAGATTTAAAAAAAATTAACAACAATATCACATCAATATTATACTACCAATTAAACAATGGTTATACATGTACCAGACAATAAATATTAATCCGTTAATTTACCTGATACAATCTCCAGTACGTCTTCACAAATCAGTACTTTTTTTTGGGAGAGAAAACTGCATTCCGTTAATTAATCAGACACATATAAGGTTTCAGGATAATCCTCTTTAAGAAGAGGTTCAAGAAAAAAAGGTGGTCTGTCTACCCACACCTCTTCTGCATCCCAATTGCAGTTCATATGAGCCATAAAGTGGGCCGGTTTGTTCTTATCTCGGCCTGCAAAGCTCCAAATGACTGATCAAAAACTTGGATTTGTCCCGAATCTCCTCACAGAGCAGCCCGATCTCCGTTTGTCTTTCTTCCTCGCGTCGAAGCTGGGAGATCATTCCCAGACTATCTGACTCTACCTCCATTTCCCGAATCTCAAACCTCCTAACCAGCTCCATACCAAAATCGATGGCCAAAGCTTCAGCATCTTCTGGGTTCCATTGAACTCTTGATCTCCTCACTGCTGCTAACAGGCATCCTCCTTCTCTATCTCTAATCTCTACACCCAAGCTCGTTCCTCTTTCTGAAATGCATGTTGTATCTACAGTAACCTTCACCGGAGTCAGTGCCGGCGGCTGCCATCGGGACTCAAGAGTCCGTTCAATCGGCTGGAGTTTCGTTTATTTGTCAAGGTAATCCTTCAGCCATTCCTTTTCCCTGGGTGTTATCTCCCATTCTGCTAATTACTTTTTGTTCCACAACTAGCAGTTGCACTGATCCCATATGTACCAGAGAGCCACCAAGAATGATCCAATCTTTTCATCAGACTCTGTTTCCTGCAGCTTGCAATACCATTCCTCCGAGGTAAGATTTTCCCCACTTTCTATGTATGAATCCATGGGGCTGAATCTTCGCACCCTTCACACCCATCCACAGTCGCGGAAGATGTGTTCCGATGTCTCGTATAAGTAACAAAAAGGGCATCCTTCAGAGCCCTTTTGTATCCGTTCCACAATCCTAGCTTCTATAGGAATAATGTTTCGTAACCACCTCCATCCAAAGATTTTCACCTTTGGGGAAATTTTGAGATTCCAGAATCTCTTCCACCCCTCTGGTGAGTAGAATTCCCTATATTCCTCTTCAATCTTGTCTTCCCACAGTCTGTATACCGACTTTAATAAATATTCTCCCTCTGTTCCTTGCTCCAAATTATCTTATCCTCCGTTGGCTGTCTTGGGATAGGCATTTTGTGAATTAGAATTTGGTCCACAGGGTTGAAATGTGCCTGGAGTAACTCAGTTTGCCAGCTTCGTGTCTGATGGTCAATCAATTCAGCCACTGAGGTTGACACCCCCCAATTAGTTGTTGGCGAGGTTACCTTCAGATTGGGGCTAGCTGGTACCCATTTATCTATCCAGATATCAATCTTGTTCCCGTTCCCCAGTCTTCATCTCTTTACCAAATCCTTTGCTGCCATTAGTCCTCTCCAAATCCAACTGGGGTTTTTCCCCACCTCTGCTTCTAGAGGATCTCTATCATGGTAGTATTTTGCCTTCGATACTTTAGCCACTAGGGTTTCAGGATGCTGGATTATGCGCCATAACTGTTTTCCCAATAGAGCTAGGTTGAAACTTTGTAGATTGCGGAAACCCATGCCTCCCAGTTTCTTTGGTCGACACAATTCCTTCCATTTAAGCCAATGTGTTTTCCCTTCTTCTTGTTGTTGTCCCCACCAGAAGAGAGCAATGGCTCTCTTTATCTCCTTTAGAGTGCTCACTGGAATCTGAAACACTGACATAGCGTAGGTCATTTGAGACTCTGCTACAGACTTAATTAGCACTTCCTTTCCTGCCACAGAAAGCAGCTGCCCCTTCCACGTTTTAACCTTTGAACGAAATCTATCAACCAAATATCCAAACACCTGTCTCTTTGATCGTCCTATGTTTATAGGAAGACCAAGAAATTTCTGATGATATGCCACACTTTTCATATTTAGAATTGTTGTCAGCTCTCTTCTCTTCTCCTGTCTAATGTTGGGACTAAAAGACAGTTCAGATTTGTGTAGATTTACCTGTTGACCTGATTCATTTTCATACAAGTGTAGTATCTCTTCAACTTTCTCACATTCCACCCTGTTTGCTCTGGTAAAGAGAACACTGTCGTCCACAAACAGTAGGTGTGAGATTTGGGGTGCATTCTTCTTGACTCGAATTCCCTCAATCTTTTTCTCCTTTTTTGCTTGTGTAAGCATAGCCGAAATTCCTTCCACTACAAACAAAAAGAGGTATGGGGATATGGGATCCCCCTGCCTCAAGCCTCTGCTAGGGTGGAAAGTTTCCGTTTGGTGCCCATTAACTAGGGTTGAAAAGAAGACTGTAGTAACGCAGGTCATTAACATCTGTACCCATCGAATATCAAAACCCAGTTTCAACATTATAGCCTCCAAAAAATCTCACTCCACCCTGTCATAGGCTTTAGTGATATAAAGTTTAGCAGACATAAAGCCCTTGTTCCCTTTGGTTCTCGCTTTCATCGAGTGAAAGCACTCAAAAGCGATCACTACATTGTATGTAATTAGTCTCCCATGTACAAATGCACTTTGGTTTGGGACTATGACCTCATTCAGCACACCCTTCAGCCTGTTTGCCAATACTTTGGAGAGAATCTTGTATAGTACCTTACATAAGCTGTTAGGGAGAAAATCTACTGGTGTTTGGGGTTTTTTCTTCTTTGGGCCGAGGGCTACCAGCGTATGGTTTAATTCCTATGGAAAGCTCCCTGCTTTCAGATAACCCTGCAATTCCTCTGCAATTGCATCTCCCACAATGTCTCAGTTCTTTTGAAAGAACAGAGCAGGCATTCCATCAGCACCTGGGACTTTTAGTGGCCACATTGTTTTTAGAGCTGCCCAAATCTCTTCTCTCGAGAAAGGTCTGAGCAGTTCTTCATTCATAGTAGCTGTAACTTTGCTTGGGACTGCATCAATGACCGTATTCGATTCTGTTCTATGGTCTGACTCATATAACTTCTTGAAGAACTTGACTATGCATTGAGCAACCTCCTCCTGCTCTGTACATATTCTGCCATCCTCATCTTTTATTCGTCTAATCATATTCTTTGCTCTCCTATCCGAGGCTCGATGATGGAAAAATTTAGTATTCTTGTCCCCATGTTTGAGCCAATCATTTCTGGATAGTTGCTTCCAGATCAACTCCTCTTGGAGTAGGATTTCTTCCAGTTTGCTTTCAAGGGCCCTCCTTTGTGCCAGGATAGCTTCAGTCTTACTCATTCTGTCAATTCTTGCCAGAGCCCTTTCCATCTTAATTCTTCTGGCTTTTAAGCTTTCAAATGTCTGTCTGCTCCAGTTCTCCAGCCTATGCTCACAAGCACTGAGTTTCCCCATCACTTATCCAAATCCGCTTGATTCCCACCCTTCCTTAATCACCTTTTTGCAATCCTCATGGTCCTGCCAAAAGGCTTCAAATCAGGACTCAACATTAAACAACAAGCTAGTTTGGTAGGGGATTACAACGAGCTAAGATTAGGTGACTAAGCCAAATTCAGCCACACAATCAAATTATAATCTGATGGTTCAAATTAATCTCATTTAATGAAGGATAGAGTAATAATTTTATCTTATATTTATTTAATAATTTAAAAAATTGGTCAGCAGCGTTGTCCTACTGCCTCGGCGCCTCCCTTCCGTTCCGGCGATCGGCAGTACCACCGCACCTCGTGTCTTCCTCCCTGGGAATAGGGGTGGCCATTAGTGCGGTCAAACTGCTCCGAACCGCATTTGCGGTCGCGCCAAACCGTACCGTAATCCTTGCGGTCTGAATTTTTAGCGGTCGCCAAAACCGCAAGCCGCATATAATTTTTAGTTGTACAATGGCTCTGATACTGCGACAGTCCATTAGCAGCCAATCGCACTTCTCGGCAAAGAAGAACTGCTTGTGGAACTGAAGGCTCTGCTCTTTCCTCTTCTCTGGCTCCGGCAATGGCTTGGTGGCCTCCGTGCTGCTAATTCACTCCGCCATTGGAAAAGGGAAGAGGCTGAGTTTAAAGTTGAGCAAGATCAATAAAAGAATACAGGTAGGTAGGTACCCAGTTTCATCAATTCCACTCGGCAAAATCGAAATCTAGATGCCAAGAATGGAATGCTGCCGAGTTCTCCAACATCTTCGGCACAAACTCCCTGCCGCCGTCGCACTCATCGAACTGTTCATCTACGAGCAGCATCCCCTGCTCCTCCTCTGCCTCTTCAAACCCAGCGAACTGCGTGTCCAGATCTTCTTCTTCAGGGGATGGAACGACGTGATGATGACCACCTGCAACTATTCGAGGGAATTCCCCTCTGACACAAGAATCAACAGTAGCAGCTACAACAGTTAAATTAAAGCAAGTGGTGGTGGTGGGGCTGATACAATTACTACTACTGTTCTCCAACGATTAGGGATGGCAATGGGTAGGGTCGGGTGCGGGTTTACCCTAAACTATGAACTTATACACATATATGCACATACGTACTGTTGTCCATTAAAAATTCTCAATACTTCTAATTGTTCTACCTTCAACAATCCACACAAATAAAAACAACAAAAACATAATAATTGTTCTTGCTTCTACAATCCACACAAACATAATAATCGTCTACATCATCATCAATAATGGTAGCTAAACTAAATTTCTCAAGCTAAACTAAATTTCTCAAGGGAAATTGACCCTTTGGTAAGCGGGGCGGGTATAACGGGGCGGGTATTATCGATTACCGTACCCGTACCCTACCCTTTATTTTGAAACAAGGTATTACCCGTACCCACCCCTTAGCCTGTCAAAGCGGGTAATTACCCTCGTTGACCGGTTACGGTCGAGTAGGATACCCATGGTTACGGGTTGGATTGACATCCCTACCAACGATGAACTGGAAGCTGCTGCCGAAGGATTGTGTTGTTGTTGTGATGACGATGACGAAGATTAAGAGAAAATTGAGAGCCCAATTACATACTTCCTATCAAATTGGTTGGTCTTAATAATTTTGAGTGGTTAAAATCGATACAAAACTAGCTAATTTGATTTGTATATACGTAAGATTAGTTATTACTAGGTACAATCTTAAATATCCATTTTTCTTATAATTACGGATCATGATTCATGGGTATAGAAAGTGAATTCAAACATGTCAATCAATTGTTTGCGGTCAAATATGCGGTGCGTTCCAAACCGCACCAAATCGCATATTTAAGCGGTTTGGTTTGACCGCACCAATTATATTGCAGTCTAATATGCGGCGCGGTCCAAAGGACATGTGGTGCGGTGCAATTTATATTAATATGGTGCGGTGCGGTTTGAACCGCTCCAATGCCCACCCCTACCTGGGAAATAGAGAGGTGGTCTATTCCCCGAGAGAGCGAGAGAGAGAGAGAGAGAGAGAGAGAGAGAGAGAGTTCTGGTCGACTTTCCAGCGACGATGGAGGAGGCTCTCCGACGATCAGAGACGGCGCAGGAGGATTTTCGGTGGCAGTGTTGGATTCGTATTTGTCGACCTATTTTGTGATGCTTATTAGTCCAGTTTATAATATTTATATCAATTCGGTTTGTATTGTTTATCATTCTAGTTTGTTATTTTTGTCTATTGTGTTTGTAATGTTCATATGAGTAATTTGTATATATTTTGATTTATAATATTGGGTTAATAGCATTTTATTTTTATACCCATCTACTATGGTAAATAAACAAAAGTACCCTTCTACTAAATTTTTGCACAAACATACCCTTCTAATATTAAAAATTAACGAGTTTACCCTTCATCCAATTATCCGTAAGTGACCGTTAAATGGGTGAAGAAATAACTTAATTGCCCCTCGTTTACTCCTAAACACTCCAAAATTCGATTTTAGTTATTTATGTCCCAAATCAGTTTAAAAAAAAAACAAACCCTAAACTAATTCATGCGTATGACAGAAACCGTCCGTCTCTCTGGCGATTACTCCCTCCACTCAACGACGGCGCTGTTCCCGGCATCTCCTCGCACCCTCCAGTCCAACTGCCCTAGCCGGAACGGCTCTGGCGACAACAACCTCGCCCATCTCGACTTCCAGTCGCCGACCTCCAGTCGCCGACCTCCTTCGACACAGTTACTTCAGGAACCTCATGACCGGGATGGTCAAGTTGGGAGAGATTAGCCCGCTCACGGGATCACAGCGGAGATTCGACAGGAGGCCTAATTAACTGGTCAGGGATGGTGTTTTGGTAATGTTGGGAGTTCAACTGAAATCATATTGCGGACCGATTGAGTTCGAATAAAGTGTGGTTTTGTGTGGGTGGGTCGGCAGTGCTTATTTAGTTTGTATAAATATATTTTTAATCAGAGTGTTATAGCTACGATGTTCTAGGCTTCCAGTCAAGACTCAAGATGCTTTTTTCTTCAGTTTGATCTCTCTTTCCTTCCTTCTTTTTCCATTCTTTATACCGATCATATATGCTTCGGATGCTGGGAGCAGCACCGCCGCTGAAGGGGAGACGGAGTCGGCTGTGTGTGAATTAGTTTAGGGTTTGTATTTTTATTAATTGATTTGGGACATAAAATTAGGATCGAAATTAGGTGTGCTAAGTAGTAATCGAGGGTGATTAAGTCATTTCACAACCCTTTTAACAGTTACTTAACGGATAATTAGATGGAAGGGTAAACTCATTACGTTTTAATTTTAGAAGGATATGTTTGTGCAAAAATTTAATAGAGGGTGCGTTTGTTAATTTACCATAGTAGAGGGGTACAAAATGCTATTAACCCTATAATAT